CTATTCTCTTCCCTGCCCCCTTCCTTCTTCCTAACACCCCTGGACTCTGGAGGTGCCACCCAGGAGGTGCCACCCAGAGATAGAAGGTCCAGACCAGAGCTCATGACCTTGGGAAGTGTGGCTGGGAAATACAGTGAAACAACTCAAAGAATAAAGGGAAATACCTTTCTAGAACCAATTCTGGCCCTGTAGGGAGAGCACAGATCCCTGCTGCTCCCTGGAGTAGAAGGGCACTCCAGGATGGGCAGCGCTAAGCCTTCTGTTTGCTTTGATCAAATGTGAAAATTTCATTGGCACCATCTTCTTTTTGTCTGAGACCTCTTTGCTTCTACCAAGGTAAGTATTTCATTAACTCATTCTTGTGGCTTGAAAACGGGTGAAGGAATGCAAGTTAAGGGGGTGAGGGTGGGGAAGGAGGAGCTCTTACCAGGGTGAGTTTTAAGACCCCAACCATTGAGCCTGTGCTTTTGCTAGGGTTCACTCTGCTCTGCCTGGGCTGTACCCACTCCTGGGAGACCCCTGTGCACTCCCTCCACTTACTGTAAGGCCATCAAAAATAACAAGGCTGGAGACTTTTCCTACTCTACTTGTGTCCATCTCAAAGTTTTTGTTGTTTATTATTGTGGTTTAATTTCCCGTGCCTGCTTTCTCAGCCTTTTTAATTGTAATGACTTCACATTATTTCATCAAGATAATATAGTTTTGTTTTCTTTTCTTAATTATTCTTTTACTATGTGATAAATACACCATAGCCAACATTTCATTGTTATATCATTTGATTGCCCTTTTTGTTATATACTTTTCCCATGTTTTGGGTGATTTTCTAGGACATACGCAGCTGGCAAAAGCGACGACCAATTTTACGGCTGTTCAAGCAATCCCATGCCAACAAGCTTGGCTTTACTGGTTGGCAAATAAAATGGAAATTGATGTCAGTAAGTGGACCAGTGACTCTTGGAGAACTTTGAAACCCATGATTCAGTCTTTTACTTTCATGTCAGGGACTTGGTATCTCAAAGTTTTTGAAGATGGTGGTAATGTTAAAAGTACAATTGAAGATCATTTGACTTGTGATCAGATGTGTGAGAGGAAGAAGATGGAATTAGAAAAAGTAGGTCATTAGTGGATGATTTGAATAACTCTGCGACGATGTCATAGTTGGTGCCTTGAAACTTGAATGGCTTTTAAAATCACTTAGAGTGGGAGATTAGTAACTATTTTATAACTGTTTGCTTATCATTGAATTTGAACCCAGTTTAGACTTAAGTGCTACAGGCCTGGTGTGATCCAACCTTGGAAATGAGAATATAATATAATTATACGATCTGCTATTTGAAGGAACATTCCTGTTAACTTGGCCCAGATAACTGGACTCACTTCTGTGTGCCCAGCCCTTTTGCCATCTGTGGGTTAGGCACCACCTGACTTGATGGCCCCAGCAGTTGTCATGGCAAGTAGGTTTGCTTTGTCCATTGCAAGTTGTGTCTTGATCCAGCTTGGGTCTCATTGAAAAGTTGTGTGTTTTTCCAGATGCCTGTTCAATAGCCTACAATAACTACACTTTACTAACAACATTTCTATGTGATTTCCCTTCATGATTTTTCCCCTTGAGGTTTATTTCACATCTCCCTCGCAATTTTGCAATCCCTGAATCATCAGGAATGAATTTTTGGAATTCATTTAGAAGTCTTCACTTGTTTCAAGTCTTGTGAGTGCAGGTCATAAAGGTGAAGGGAATGTAAGATGTAGACATTGAGAAGTACTACTTTCCACCTTTTTTTCCACCCAGGTATCTCACTCCCCCTTTAGTTTCTATAGACTTGACCTTGCTATGGATATTGCTGGGTAAATAGGAGAAGATAAAAGTGTAGTTTTCATGACTGAAACTATGATTGTTTATGAAGGTATCTCGCAATAGTGTTACAAAAAAGAAAGATACACAATTACATAGAATAAGATTCCAGTTTTGTAACAACCAAAAATTAAAACAAAACAGGAATACATTTTTCAAAAGTAGAGGAAAATCTACAAAGTATTAACACGCATGATCTGTGAGTAGTGGAATTAAGAATAATTTCTTCATAAAATGTTTTCTGTTCCTTCACAATTTTCTAAAATAAAGATGTGTTGCATTTATAATGAGAAAGGAAAAGATTGTTCACATTTTTAAATCACAAAGAAAACAGAATTCTTTTTTTTTCAAAGATTTATTTATTTATGCATATAAGAACTGGGGTACAGGCTAGAGGTGCGGGGGGTGAGAGGATTCACCAGAACAGAACAGGTGGATGTACAGCTGTGTTTGCTTGTACTCTGTGGAATGAACAGAGACAGAGATTTAGGCTCAATGCAGGCCCTTCTGTTCTTGCCCATCTCATTTGTTTCCAGAGCATCGATGCGGCTGCTGTGGTCACTTCTGAGGGTTTGGCCATGGTGGGGGAGTGTCTGGTACCCTCCAGCACCCAGGAGTTCCTAGACAGTCAAGCAGGAGTGACTGCTGTCAGAGATCCTACTTTTTAAGTACTGACCATACACTTATTCTTAAATCTGGTTTCTGAATGCTGATGACAGTGCAGTGCAATTCAGTCCACTCATTCTTTAAAACAGAAGCGGTTGATAAGAGTGATAACTGACTTATGGGTTTGTGTAAGTTCAAGTCTTTTCTTCAGATTTCTATGTAAAACCACATCAGGAAGGGTTAGGGGTCATCACTTATGGGGACAGGGAAGGGGAATGGATGCTCACCTGTCCACCTCCTTCTTCTGCATCCCTTTTCCCTGGTAGCATCTTCCTGGCCCTGGGTTGCAACTCCGATGGGCATACCACGCTTTCAGGAACTAGGAGGAGCAGTGAGCAGTTTCTTTAGTTCTGTGGTTTGACATCTGTGGCTCTTTTTTCACTGTTAAGCATATTCATCATCTCTTCCTCTGAGGAGTCTCATAGACTCACAGTTTCTTGCCTCATTTAACTACAGTGGGACCTCTCCAGAATTCCCACAGCTCTCTTAGGATCGGCAGGCAGAACTGGAGTAATGGTCCTTTTCAACATCTATAACCACTCTGGTCAAGACCATCAGTGGGCTGAAGGGGAGTCAGAGTTACCCCAAGCGAGACCAGGCAGTTAGAAAAGTGCATATCCTGTCCATCAACTTTTGTGTTGTTTGGCCTTTTATAACCCCTCTGGGCAGGATTTCAAGAACCAACTCACAATGAGGTGCTATGACAAAGGAGGCTTTAACCATTACCTCCCTTTGGAATACTTGCATTTTAAGACTGAAGATAGTGTAATCAGTTACTAATGATGACATTTCAGGCAGCTGGTGTCAAATTTGGGAGATGTTAGGCAGCAATGATGTTGAAAAGAATCCTACTTCAGCTCTGAAGTCAGTTCAGTGGCTTATTAGTTAAAGATTTAGTGAGCACCTAATATGCACGAGGCATGGTACAAAGTAAAAAAGGGACCTTCACGGACGTCCAGGTTAGTGATGAACACAACAATGTGTTATTATACAAATAACGAAACTGATTTCCTTTGGAGCTTTATGAAAATTAATTCCATTTTATTTCAGCGGCACTTGAATTTTGCCCAGTGCTCTTGACATCTTCATAACCTACCTGGTCTTACATAATCTGTTCACGTTATTTTTACCTGGTTCTTAGCGCACGAATTAGTTGACTGGAATTAGTTAGAGTCAAACACAATTTAATTTTTTGGCAAAAAATGAAATAGTAGTTTGAGGCTCCAGACATTGTCTGCTGGAGACATCCAGTGTTTTTTGTTGTTATTCATTTATTTTTTGGGACCTTCTCAGTATCATTTCTTTTGGTAAAAGCAGCCAGATTTCACCTTGAGGCACCCCTGGTTCCTATTCACAGCCCTTGTAGGCCTAATAGAATTAACTCACTGAGCCCCAAGCTCCTGGAGAGGGCAAGTCACTCTAGCCTGGTCTGTGGGATGGCTGCATCTCCTAGGTGGTAACAAGTTCAAGAATGGTTATATGACCCACATCGGGCTTAGAGAAACCTGCAGAAATTTTTCCTATAGTTACTGCAAAAGAATGACTGTCAAGGTTGGAAAAAACCTCCTTGAGATGGTGGTCAACACAGAGAAAGTCATCACAAAGCTTTCTGACCTTGCTTGAATGATTGCATTTAGGACTGCCTATTGATTTTTCATTTATATTATCAGGATTTAGGTAAACAGAGAAAGTGAGAGAGAGATATTCATAGATACAGTTCTATTTTTCACCATCCAGTTGGACTTTGGTTCCTTTCATTAGCAGCTCAAGGCTTCATCCAATCATCTGTTAGACTCCCAAGAGTCCCTAATTAAAAGAAGATGGTGGGCTGTGGCCTGTCTACTCATTTATTCCTATATTTCATGTATATTTACTGAGTGTCCAGTCAGCTAGTTGGCAAGGAGAGTTTGAGGCCATGGGGCTGCTTCTGGTCATCTGGTCACCTAGTTCCACAGGCAGCTGGATCAGCATCTCAGCCCCCTTTTCCATAGTTGGCATTTACCTTCTAAGCACCCAAAATGTTTTCTGGCTTCCTCTCTGGTAAAAAGGAGAGCACAGTTTAAAATTCCAGCCAGACTGCGAAGGTGTCAGTTCTGGCTGCTTTTTAATCTGGTCGCTGTGAAGAATCAGTGTTTTCTCTCAAGGCTATTAGAGAAGCAGAAAGAAGCAAAGTCTCCCTGGTGTGGTGATGACTGTGCTACCTAAGGCACAACGGATTTCTTGAGGCTCAATTTTGAAATCCTAATATCAGTGATGCAATTGTGACATAGACTTGTGATGGCTGTGGGAATTGAGAGTTAGAGATAGCCTGGCTAGAGTTTGAGGCCCAAGGGAGCAGAGAAGTCTTCTTGCTCCTTGCAAATTCTTACCAAGGTTGATAACAGCCCCTGGGAATGGAGCCTTTGTTTTTTCACTAAATAGATCACTTAATGTGACAAAAGGGGCCTATGGAAATAGCAAAGTATTTCACAACACAAGCTTGCTCCTTCAGAGTCACCTTCCTTGTATTCTTTTTTGGTTATTTTTTGTTATTCTTTTTATTGTATATTTTATTGTTCCTTCTCATCTGCTGATATAAAATACAGAGTCTCCAGAAGAAAAAATAGCATTTTATTTTCACATTTTCCTATGGTGTGATCCCAGTCGTTCTATGATACTCCTTTTTCAAGTAAGGACAAGTGTCAGATTTCTGTTTTTTATCACATACATTCGCAATCATGCACATATTCACAAAGTTTTTGACTGGATATGTGTGTGAATGTACAGATGTAAGTGTATAGCCCATCCAAAGATACTTATAGAGCTGTCCATTTGTAGAGAGAGATAGATGCATTGATAGAGATGATAGCTGATTGATAAATGTGCATTATATAATGACAACACACACATCTCCCAAATTCTGCTAAAAACACAAAGCTTATCATAAAATCAGTATAAACTAGCTTACAAATCTTTGAAGATGTCTTATATTTAAAAATAGTTTTTAAAAATATATCCCAAATCTATCCTATCCTGGGGTTAGGAAAACTAAATGGGGTGAGATAATCGAGGTACCAGTGGTTCGATTAGGCCTTTTTGTCTGGATAACTTCTCTAAATCAGGAGGGGTATGGCCTAGCAGATCTTCAGAAAAATAATGGCTTAATTACCCAAATCAGCGCACTGAGACACTGAAATACTCAAAGTTGAGTAAGGACCAACCCTAAATATAAGATGTTTGTGTTCACATCCCTCAGCATGAAGGCAAGAAGAGCCTCCCGCAGGCTCCTAACAGCCATTCAAGTCAGCACCCCCCAGTAAGAGGAGCTTGGAGACACAGCCCACTCCCCTGAGTTGGGAAAGCTTCAGTTCAAGAACAGATTCCCTGGGAAGCAGGGAAGGATGTTGTTATTGTGACGCTTGCACACCATGTTGTTCAAACACCTCCTTCCTAGGAAATATCGAATCCATGCTCCAATGTCACCAGGATGTGCAAACTTGACCCTCATGGGGATGAATCAGGGAGTAGAGATGCAGAGCCCTGAAGACACTGGACTTTCTGCCTCTCCAAGGAATGTCTCCCTGCCTCCTCAAGGGTAGGAAAGGCGATGAGCTGAGAAACATGAGACAAAAAAACTCCTGTGCTAGATCAGATATTTTTTCCTTTTTTTCCTTTCTTGTAAGATTTATTTATTCATGCATATAAGAGCCGGGGTACAGGCCAGATGTGCAGAAGGGTGAAAAGATTCACCAGAGATAGAGTGGGGAACAGAAAGGGCAGACTGACTGAAATACACTGCTGAGGGGAGCAGCAGGTGAGACAGGAGAGGTCTGCCGCTCTATGTGGGTATCTCCCTGGCCGTCCTGGATGGAACCCACGCTGCAGAGGCTACAGACAGCTTCACAGCGCTGTACTCAACTGCCTGCGCCACCAGGGAGGGCCTAGATCTGATATTTTTTAATGTTGTAATCGTTAATTGCTTCTAGGCTAATATTTTAAAATGGGTTGACCAGTTGAAATTTTGAGCCAAGCTGTAAGGTTGTCTCAGGTGTTGGAATATAACTTAAGGTCTTTGTAATTTAGAGGATTTATATTTTCAACAGTATGATTTCCTTTTGTCTCTGGCTACTTCAAACTAGTTTTACTTATATCTGAGAACCATAAAAACTTTTAACACAGTAAAAAGTCTATCATGTTAGATGAAATATGACAAGGTAAATCAGAGTCCAGTTCCTTCCAAGGTCAGTGCAGAGATGGGTGGTATGGATGGTGCCCAGGACTCACAGGCTGACAAGGATCCCTGGGGAGTTGTCATTACAGTAGACTGTTCTAAATAAGTTGTTTTTTTTTTTTTTAAACTAAGTTCATCGAGTGACACAAACTTGAGCTGATGAAAGTCCACTGCCTTCTGATCCAATCTCCACCTGCGATGGTGTTACAGCCAGGAAACCTGTCTTGAGGCAGATTCCAGGCCCACCAAGCACTCTGCTCTGCCAGGGTTTCATTTGCTGCTGCTACTATTGCTGCTGCTGCTTCCAAAGAGATACTTCTAGCAGCTTCATTATTAGGCACAATGAACTCTTCATATTTTAGTGTCCTGGGGAGGGGCATCATTCTGTGAACAGAGAAAGAAAGAATGAGTTAGGAAGAGAGGTGGGGGGGATCCTGACACTCAGCATATCTCCTTGGTGATGCTGGATCAGACAATAACAACATATTGGTATATGCCTGACATTGGTATATGCCTGACAATGCCACATGCCTGACATTGCCTTTTACATACCTCCACTCATTCATTTCTTATGAAAGCTCTATGAGGTCGATACTTCTATTAGCTGTCTTATAGGCCATGCACAACGAGGTCAGCTGGCTTCCCCTAGGTCACACAGCTAGTACGTGGTAGAATCAGGATTTAAACCCAGAGACGAGCTCAAGCTCTCAACTGCCAGGAGACACTTCCTATTCCCTGATGTCTGGCTTCCCATGTGCCTCCTACCTTCGCCTCTTATCTATTCACTCATTTTCCACTCAATTTCATCTTCTTGAAACATTGCTCAAGAATCTCTAGCAGCATAAAAAAATGGAAAAAGAAGAAAAAGACAAAAATAGAGTGATTTTTGAGTAAAAAATAGGAAATAGCTATTTATTCAACACTCATTCAAAAGGTGTTATTTGCAGGTTCCACACTAGGAGCTGCACCAGCCTCTTCCTATCAGATCTCTGAGAAATGGAAACATCTATGAGTGTATCCATGGCAAAAGGTGTGTGTGATGTGGGCCATCATAATGACTAGTTGGAGTGTGAGGGGTACGTGGGGAAGAGGTGGGTGAGGGAGTGGCGTTTGTCATCAGCAATCAGGGAAGGTCTTGGGGACAGAGATGCAATGAGAGGATTTTCCAATGTCAGTGGAGGCTGGGTCCCAGCTGGCCAGGTGCAATCTCAGTTTGGAATTTAGACATATCCCTCAGAAGGGACTGCAAAAGCTGGTGAGAGATGGTTTTCTATATGGAATGGCTGGGGACAAGTGAGGCTGGGACACTGGCAAGTTCAGCATACAGAAGAGTGTGAACTCAACTTTCAGTGGGCTGGATCAGAGAGTTTTGGGTAGGAAAGCAGACAAAAAGTACATCTGCAGGAAGATGAATTTGGAGCTAATGTGGAAGGGTGGGTCTGGAGATCAGGAATCCCATTAGGGTTGAGTTGTTGTAGAGATTGGAAAGACAGGGTGGCATTGAGATCATGGCAGTGGTGATGGAGGAAGTGAGAGGCCCTACATGGGCAATTTCATCAGACACTTGTCTGCTTAGGTGTGCAGGGATGGGTATGGAGGACAAAGAACAGGAAATGTCTCATTAGCAGAAGTGGCTGAGTCAAGTAATGGAGTTTTAGTTTTTGTTGAATATAAGTGAAGAAACAGACCAAGTAGGACACCTTTGGGATTGGGGAATGCTGAGCCTGGGGGATGTTTGGGCCTCCAAATGGGGTCAATTAGCGTGTGATTGGGTCCAAACTTGTGCTGCTAGTGGTCAGGAGTGGTCTGCAGGTGAGGGTGAGGTCTAAGTTTATGGTCACTCACAAAACATGATACGGAAGCCTGAGAATAGGAGCCAGAAGAAATGCAAGTTCAGATGTGAGGACTCTTCTTTATGAAGCAGAGAGGGTTGGGGGTCTCGGCAGCCTAGGCAGACAGAGGTTAAGGGAGGGAGGTGGTTTCAAGGGCTGGCTGCCACCTCCTGGCAGAGTTGAGGACAAGAGCTGAGACCTGAGCAGTCTGGGTGGCTGGAAGCACGTGTGACCTTCCAAATCAATGATCATTGAGATTCAGTAAGAGGAAGACAGAGAGGATGGGTTTGGGGGGAGAGGGAGAGCAGAGTTGAGGATATCTTCTTGAGGAATAGAGAAACCAGGGCATGTTTGTAGGCAAAAGGGTGTGAGATGGTGAGAAGCTAGAAAAACAGAAGGGTAAGTTAATGGTAACATTTTAGTCTAACCTCTCACTTACAATGCTCACCCACACCACATGTGACCTATAAAAATTTCCAGATAATGGTAGTAGGGGAAGCCAGAGTTAGCAGACAAGGGGAGTTGTCTTTTAAGGAGAAGGGTATCTCCTCAGATTCTAGGAAGAGGAGACATTCAAGAGTATGAGGAAGAGGAGAGTGGTCAGATGGCCGGACTTCCCTTGAGTCAAATAGGAGGTCGGGCCATTGGCAGAGGTGAGAGGATGAAATTGGGTATGAATTTAAGGGGTGTGGGTGAAAACAGGAGGAAGGATATGCATTGGAAGGGTTTCCCAGGCAGCAATGCGGGTGGATATAGTTCAGATGGGTGGGCAAGAGTTGATATTGGATCAGGCAACGTGATTTTGTGAATTCCACCAAGAACACTCACAGAGTGTTCTCAGCAGAGAATAACAGAACCCAGTTTTCAACAGAGAAGCGGGTGTGAGAGTGACTAATAAGGAAAAACAAAACACCAGTGTTGAGACGGAGATTAAGACGCAGAAGCACAGCACTACGGGGTCAGTCCCAGACAGTTGAGAGGCTAAGGGAGAGGAGTATGCCCTAAGAGAAGTGAGGAAAAACTGACAGACAAGAGTGAGTCCTTGGGATATGTCTAGTTATCTGGGAGGGAGAAGAAAGAAGAGAGCAAAGTAAAGACTCAGAGACTTACAACGGCAGGGGAAGGCTTGGGAGAAAGTAGTATCTCATCAGTGAGGGAGGAAAAGAATTTCAAATCAAATGTTGTGAAATGCAGGAGAAGGATCTGGAAAAGCACTTGAACCAGGCTATTAGAAAGTCACCACTTACTGTCAGTACTTACTATGAAGTCTTGGATGCAATGTCAAAACATCTCCACTATCTTTGTTTGGATGGCTAGTCTTTAGCAAACCTGAGTGCAGTGCCGACACAAAATGAGTGTTTGAGAAACACTTTTTCCATTTATGTACAGTATCAGAGTTGGAGCTTATTCAGGGCCCTCTTTCCAGGGTGACGTTCCTTATAAACAGAATCCTAAGAGCGATGGTGTGGTATGTCCAGCCTACTCCCTGGTTCAGATTCCCAGGATAGCTCATTCCTGAACCATGAAATGTTAAAATACTTACCAGGGGCACATATCAGGGAGTTTATCCTTTATAGTACTTTCACACTTCTGCTGTGTTTGGCCTCCTTGTGAAATCTTTCTTGGAGAATGAATGGCTGAATCCTTTGTAATTCATCTAGCCTTGCTGTTCCCAGGCAGAATCAAATTTATTCTACTCTTCTGTCATTTGTTTTTTGTTTGTTTTGTTTATTTGTTGTTATCTGTTTATGCCTGTCTTCTCTATCTTTGAGCTCCCAGCAACTCACGAAGTGCGAGAGATAGCTGGGGCTTGATGATTATGGAATGAAACCATAATGTGTTTACCTGATCAATCTCTTTCTACCAAGAACAAGATGGGGATGAGGTGAGAGGGCTGGAAAGCTGGCTGTCTAGTACTATGTGTGACTCTACATGACACAGGAAAGACCCGGGGCCGGGAGGGGTGTCCCTGGAGACCCACTGTTTTCACTGGAGTCCTCCTGTGCACCACTGCCTGAGGTCTTTTGATTCTAACCTTGACCAGGCTGAAAGGGACAAAAGCAGAGTTCAGATGATGGTCCCCCCTGATTACACAGACAGTGTGGATGAGCAGTGGTGCCTTCTGAAGCAGTTAATTCAGAGGACTAGAGCTGGTGGCCAATAGTCATCACTGATTGAGCTCAGTGATCCTGGACTACTCGTCACCTTTTGGAATCTCAATTTCTCCCCCCTAAAGCCAGGGGTGAGGGTAAGGGTGTTACACTGTCAATTTTGTGGTAATCTGTTATAGCAAACCTAGGAAAGGAACACTGGAAGTATGTCATTTCAGCAAGAGTAAATGATCTATACACACACACACAACTCTGGTTGCTGTACAGAGGATGGACTATATAGGCAGAAAATGTGGAAGCAGAATTCAGATTAAGAGGCAAATGTAGCAGGAAGTTAAAGGCTTGAGCAAATGAATGAATGCACTAAGGAAAAGGGGAGATTCTGGAGTACAACTAAGTTGATGAAGTTGTTAGGAATGGTGGTAGGAATGGGACATTGAGCTCTGTTTGTGGAACTTCTTAGCCTCCACTGGGTGGCTCTATTCCTGAATCGGAGGTAGGTGATATCCAGGTGGGCTTCCTGAGGGTGGTGAGGAGGTGACTACTGAAGGGTCAACAAATGTGGGCCCAGATAGGAGGGCTAAGTTATCTCCTGCCCACATACACTCAGAGTGCCACACCTGTATGGGGATGGGTGTCCCCTAAGCATTTTTTACAGACCCCACTCCAATACCACCTTCACCCTGAACATTCTCCCACCTCCTCCTATAGTGTCCACATATACACTGTTTCTCTCATGCTGTGCTTTGACCTTTCCAAAAGCACCCACTGCCCAAACCACACTCTGCCTTCTATAATGCACCCCAAGTACCTAATGGTTTCATGTGCTGAACTGTTTTTATGCAAAGTTCATGCTCCCCCTTTTCTCTCTGAAACCCTGCAGCTGTGAGCAGAACCCAGGACCCTGTTCTCAGCAGGCCTTTAGTTTGTGACCTCAGTCACCCTGCACAGACCCAGAAGCCTGCCAGAACTCTGAGTCAGCAGAAGCAGAGCAAGCAGGAGACACACACACTTCCCTTCCTTGTGCTTTTGTCCCCTCACCCTCAATGACAGCCTGTCTCTCTAGGGCTGCGAGGCAGGAGACTGGCGCCGCTGTCACTGCACACAGAGCTGGATTGTGAGAAGAGAGTAAGGAACCAGGGATGTGACAGAAGCACCCACTGGCCTGGCCTGGCCCTTCTGGAACAAGCCAGGACACCTACCTGTGTCTCAGGAACCTCGCTGTCGGGCTCTGGCTGGGTGTGGCTGGCCCCAGACCTGCCGCTTGGCTCCAGAGCTGCCTCCCCTTCTTGCTTTCCCTTGCCTGGCCCCTGCTCAGGGTTGTGGTTGTCTCCCACTTCTCCAGGGGGCATCTCGGGGGCCTCCTTCCTGGCAGCTTCCTCCTCTGGGTTCTTTTGTGCTGGTGCCTTTTCTTCTTCATTTTCCACACGCTCCTCCTTCCCCTCTGTAGCTTTTTCCATCTGTTCTCCAGCCGGGTTTCCCTCTCTGGGGCACCCACACTCATTCTCTGCCTCTGGACTGGAAGTTTGGGGGGTTTCTGAGGCCTCCTCCCCGCCTGGACTCTGACTGGCCTCCTCTCTGGAATCCCCCGTGACCTTCTCGGGATGCTGAGCTTTCTCCATGGCCGTGACCTTCTCTTCTGGCTTCTCTGTCCTGCTGGGCGTCCTCCCCAGTTTCCTCCTTGCTTCCTGCTCTGTTGCCCCCTCACCGGGTGGAGGGGACCCCGGGGATTTGCTCTTGGACAGGAAAACTTCATCCCCATTCTCTTCCTTGGCCCCATTCTCCTGGGATGGCTCAGGGGCCGTGAAATTTCCCAGGTCCCCATAGTCTGACTGAGACCTTCGGAATCGCCTGGAGGGAGGGCGCCTTTTTATTGAGCCTCTGGTCCGCACCTGGAAGAAGGTGTTAAGGGGAATTATCTAAAAGTTGGAAGGGGGAGGGGGAGACTGCTGCAAGGAGGACTACGTGTTCTCTCAATGACAGCCAAAGGACTGCTTCGTAAGCCCACCCAGGATCATTTGATTTTCTAGAATACACTGTTGTTTGCCAGCTATTATAGGCTAGAGGCAGCTATTATAGGTGAGATTGTGCGTTACATGGTAACCTGTAGATTTCTGACTTGGAAAGATGCAAATGCTTCCCATCCAGTGAGGGGGGTAGAAAGGACCCATGATTTTATTGCTCTAGAAAACCTTAATCAGTTCGGTGCCAAACAGAATTTTTTTTTAAAGACTTATTTATTTATGTATACAAGAACTGGGGTCTGGGCCAGAGATGCGGGGGGTGAGAGCATTCACCGGAGACAGAGTGGGTCGCAGAACAGGCAGATCTAGTGAAATACACTGCTGAGGGGAGCAGCGGGCAAGACAGGAGAGGTCTGGTGTGCCGTGTGGGTCAGCTCCCTGGCTGGGATCGAACTCATGCAGCAGTGTCGGGCTATAGCTTGATAGTGCTGAGACTTTAACCCCTGTGCTACCAGGGAGGCTCCTAACTTAGCAATTTTATTCTAACATTTTTAAAGTTGCCTATAAATAACCAGTTCTTTGAATGTTCTTTGAATGAACTTTACCTTCTTACCAGTTTCTTCAGAAAATGACCAGTTGACTAAACCTATATCTATTTTGCAAAGAGCCATGTTTTAACCTCTTAAAAAATCATACTTTGGGGGCCTCCCCGGTGGCGCAGTGGTTGCGCGCTGGGTTGCGAAAGCTGCCCGCGGCCTCTGCGGTGCTGGTTCGATCCCCGGCTGCTCCCCGGCCACCAGAGGAGGGTCCCACATGGCGCGTAGACCTCCCCTGCTGCCCGCTGCTCCCCTCAGCAGTGTGCTTCGGTCCTTTTGCCTGCTCTGCTCCCTGCTCTGTCTCTAGTGAATTCTCCCACTCTCCCGCGCTTCTGACTATACCCAGTGCTTGTATAAATAAATAAATCTTCAAAAAAAAATCGTTTAAAAAAAAATCATACTTTGACAGGGCCTCCCCTGATGGCGCAGCAGTTGAGCGCTGGGCTGCGAGGCTGCCTGCAGCCTCTGCAGCGCCGGTTTGTTCTCCAGCCACCGGCGAGGGTCCCACAAAAAAAAAAAATTAAAAAAAAAAAATCATACTTTGACAAAGGTAAGCCAACAAAGAGGGCTGGCACTGGTACAGGTGGCCTAGCCCTGGTACAGGGCCCTCATTGGTGTAGAGTTGGACACTTGGTGACCACCTCCTCCCCTACCCCAGAAGGGCCTCCCCACCCTTACGAAGCTGGCTAATCTGAGGAGCTGAGCAGCCAGAGTCTTGCATTTCCGGGAACCAGGTCCAAGTTCATTGAAGTTGTGCCTTAGGAGTGCCCAGGAGTTTCCTGCAAGCCCTTTCCTCTTCCTGAGTGCATCTCAGGACCAGGCCTCGTCTTGGTCCATCAGCCTTTGTGAGATGTTCAAGGGCTATATTTCTATGAACTGCCCTATGAACTCAATTTTAAAATGTACATATAAATTAAACTTTATTTTCTTAAATCTTTTTCTCCCGCTGACTTACATTTTGGTATTCGTCAGGCCTAGTCCTGTTTCAGAGGTTTGGAATAAATAATTGGCTTGCAAGGGTTATCCAGGTCCTTTCCTGAGACCACAGTGAGGCCAGCCCCGCAGGTTATCAAGGTTCCAGCCCTTTCAGTCAGCAGAGTTTAGAAATAAGCTGGCCTGCTCCCTTGATGCCCCTGGTATTATGAGCAAATGGTAGTGCTTCCCTCCCTGCCCCTATACCCCATCTTCACCCTGTGAGAAGACAAAGCTCTCCCCTGGTTTCCTCCCTGACTGTCACCCTGGGCTTAGTGATCTCCTCTTGTGCCCCAGTCAGCTGGCTCACTCCTGCCCCTCCACCTCCTCCATCACTATGTTCCCTGGTCCCTATCTGTTTCTACATCTAGGACCTTTTTACCCCCAATTTCCTGGATTGCCCCAGAAAATTCTACACACTATATCCATAATTCTGGAGTCATAACCTCCCACCACTCCGGCACCAGACACCAAAATTCTTGGGCCATGCATGGCTCTAGCCCAGGTTTCCTGGGTACTAGCTTGACTTTCACTGGACTCTATCCCTAATTCCTACCTCTTCTTGGTAGAACCAGGGGTCAGATAAAAGCAGGCACAGCATCAGGACAGTATCCACAGAAACCAGCCCAATCATACATCTTTTTTGCAAAGGGAACAGTTTGTATGTTGTTTAATTGGGGCAAGCTACAGTAAGAATGATTTGATCCCATACTGGCACACTCACACTAAGTGTCTCATCAGGCCAGGTCAGGATGCTTTGGGACCCTGGTGACCTGAGCACCCTTCTGGGTACACTGCTGATCAGGTCTTCAGTTCCTGCTTTCAGCTATTGAGCCAACTTTCTGTGCAGCTGGGATCAGTCCTGGATTCCCCTCTCTCTCTCCACAAGGAATAGCGCACTCTCAACCCTCAAGCCTACCTTTGGGTGAGTAGGACACTATAGGGTGAGGCAGTGAGAGAGGCAGGCTAGGTGGTGGGGTGGTCTTAATTCAGGGATCACTTGCTCAGAAGAGGAGAAATTCCTTCTGTTAAAACCTGGCTCTGATCACGGCTGAAATGTGTCCTCCTTCCTCCAGGACACGAGGCTCAAATCATTCAGCATCACCCAGGCCCCACATCCCCACAGACAATGCAATGCTTTGGACCAGACGCTACCTTATTGTAACAGGGCAGGTGGCTGCCCTCAGGTGGCTGGTCGAAGCTGGCGGGCACTTCCTCTGGCTCGCTGGCCCGAGACTGCACTCCAGGGCTGCTGGGTGTGGAAGGCGGGCTGTGAAACGGGGACACCGCGGCCTTGAGTCCAGGACTCTTGGGTGAGGCCCCGGGCAGCAGGGCCCCGGGGTTGAAAACTAAGTTTGCCTATTGAGAAAAGAGGAGACATTTCAAATAGGAGTGATGAGAAGAGAAGCACTTCTGAGCTTCTGTTTAGCTTGTGGAGGGCCTGGCTTCAGAACTAGTTGAGACGAGGTAACATAAGGATTTTCGTGTTACTTCCCAATCAGTTAAACTTGTCACATCATGTCTTGCTCCTGGAAGCATTGCCGGCTTAATGCATCTCCAGCTCCTGGTTAACGCAGGCTGTGTTCTGGGATGCCCAGAAGCTACTGATTTTAGTACAACAAAATGTCCTGGAATGGTCCCAAGTTATAGACAAAGAGGCAGTAATAGCAACTGGGAGCACCTGCAGCCACTAGGATTAGGGCGATCCTGTGAGTCAGTACCCTTTATCACCTTTGTCCTGGATGCCTGCTCCTGCTGTTTGCTGGGCACACGTGGTTTTTCCTCCCACCACAACCCTACCTTGTTCAGTTTTGTTCTCACTGCACAAATCAGGATCGTGACTAAGGAATCTCCCTGGGATTCAAGCCAGGCCTATTTGTTCATGAAGTCTCCTTAGTAGATGCTAGAATGGGACACATAGTCCTTCCAGTGCAGAGCTAGCAGATCCCCGAGTGTGTGACCACATGTAGTCCTTTGCAGTGCCGCTGAAAGCAGATGAAAATGAACCCCGAGGGCAAGCAACAGCAGGCAAGCAAGCAAGAGAACGGAGGCCTGAGGGAGTCACGGGTTTGGTGGGGTAGGAGGCCGTGTCCCTAGATCCACCTTATAGGCACGGAGAAGGTGCTGCCGGCAAGGTGGCACACCCGCGTGCTCTTTAGCGCCACCTCGAGGCTCCATTCCTGCTGCGCAGCCCTCTCAATTGCAAGCTGGGAAATGGCCTCTGAGACAGGTTAGAATGAAATGGATCTTGAATAGTCAGAAAACTGGAGGTGCGAATTATAGACTAGTAGAGTGAAGAAAAAATATAGTTCCTAACTCGTCTTATAGAATATTTAGAAGAAAAACCTACCGGATGATACATTTCTTAGTTCTTTCCCCCACATATTCCCAACAAAGTAAGACTCCTAGGGATTTGGCCAACTTTTCTCACTATTGCCAACATGCTTAATGAGACTAAGCGGTAGCCTTCAAAACTCATTCTCAGGTTGCTGGGTTTCCCAAAGAGGAAAGGGGAATGAGACTAAGGCCGCAGGGTTCAGAACATGTGGGAGCTAATTTCCCACTTGGCTAGGGCTGCCACGAGGCAGAGGTCCGGGTTCTGGGCTACAATCTCTGGCTGACTGCAAGAGGGTGTGTGGAGCTCTGAGATCCCTTCTGAGATCCCTGTTTTGTGCATGTGAGCCCTAGAGGCTGTTAGAGTAAGGGGCAGCTGCAGAGGGTGGAGCCAGGGCTTCTCAGTCTGCATTAAACTTCTTCCCTGCCCTCCCCAGGGTAGACTCATGGTCAGAAATCAGACTTGCTTTCCCTAATCCACCTCAGGCTGGGAGCCAAATCCCTACATGCTCCCATAGCTGGAAGCCAATGATGACTGTGGTTACCAGGCTTAAGACATCCTTAACTTAATGGTGTCAGATCAGAGTCCATGAGCCAGTTCTGGGCCCAGATGGGAAGAAACGCTGCACATGACTTGCTGAGCTCCTGGTTGCTGCAGGGACTGCAGCGAAGGCTGGGGCACCTTTCACAAGCATCACAGATGTATTCAGTCTGCCCGTCCTCTGTGCTTTAGCTCATACTGTTCCCACTCTGGTAGTGCCTCCCTTCCTCCTTTTCAGGCGCTCAGGCATAGGTGGTTCACAAAGCATTTATTATGACCCCTGCTGAGTCTGCCCTGTTCCTGCTCTAAAATTCTAGAGCAGCAGTTCTCATGTGACCTGAGAGGGTGGGATAATTTTGTGCTCCCTGCAGACATCTGCAAATGTCTGGAGACATTTTCTGTTGTCACAGCTTGTTGCCAAATGCTACAAGTGGGCATCTAGTGGGTAGGGAGCAAGGATGCTGTTAGACATCTTGCAAGTGCACAAGGCAGCCTCTGCAACAAAATTATCCAGCCCCAGCAATGCCAAGGTTGAGACACCTGGTCTAGAGCAGTAGGAGCTGGGCAGTTACATGCAATTTAGGTTTCTGGCATTTACTTTCCTGTGTTATATCTTTTATTATACTATGTGTGAAATGGTCTCCCCAACAAGACTATAGAGACAAATGCAGAGTCTTATGCTTCATTCACAGGCCCAAGGAAAGCCAGCCCAGCTCTGTTTACCAGCGGGGTGAGGTCTCTGGATACATGAAGAGACCGGGGCAGAATGCTCCACAGAAGACGAAGCTGGCTACACCAGTGCCATGTCTGGCAGCTGAATGGCAGCCCTGAATTTCAAGCCTGAAATGGTTTGTGGCTTGCAAGCCTTGGGACAGCAGTTCTGGCTGTTCTTGGAACATTTCTTGCACTATAATGTCCCCACAAAACTCATGAGGCCCCCCCATTACCCATTGACCACCACCATTAAGTGTTAGCTACACAAACTCATGCTTGATAAGGTCCTCATTTGGCCTTTGACCCCGGGCAGAGATTGAAACCCTTCAGGGTAATTTGGCTTCTGGTTGGTTATCAGAGGCCATCTCTCCAGGTGACAACTGGGGCCAAACTGGGAGCCCCAAGGACAATTAAATGTTGGATCAGACGGGGGTTAGATAAGAGGGAGAAGTGGGTAAGCATTCTGCACTTACCTGAAGCTTTTCAATCAGAGGCGAACTCTTCACCTTGACTTTAGGAGGGTGACTCGCATTGGGTGGTGATTTCTACAGAGCAAATGGACCAAAACAGCCAAATGAGTGAGGAGGTGGGGTTCTGGCTGGGGCCCAGATGCCAAGATGGAAGAAGAGGGAAAAGTTGGTTTTACCACTTTTCCTCCATTACCTACTTACCTCATCTGGGCCAGGGTGAAGCCAGCTCACCCTCCCTCATCTCACCACTGGTGAGATCACCTGAAGCTATGAATCAAAGGAGGCAAGAAAGATGTCTGGAACATAGCAGGTCCACCATTCCAGGAAGAATGACTCTGTGGTTATTTTGAGGGAAAGGAAGGACTATGTCTGAGGCGGGCAAGCACTTCACCTCATGACCTTCAACAGCATGAGCCAAGGAGGCAGGGGGTTTCAAAGAAAGAAGGTAAAATGACCGACCATTTCTTTTGTCACAAACAAATCAAGAAGTCACAGACCAGGAGTGAAACCCCACAGAGTCCTTATTAAAATCCTTCCCTGAAACAAATGCTACTTTGGAAAATCCCCCCACTCGTGTTGTTTCTAAGTGATCATTTCCCAAAACATTGAGTACTTGTTTTGACTGAGCAGATGTTTATTGAGTATCTACTATGTCCTCTTCCAGTGGTTAACAGCTAGGCCATATGTAACCAACCACAGGTGTGTTGTTAATTCAAGATATTTTTTGTGATAGATGTATGTCAGAAGCCTTGTCTGCCTTTGGGTTTTATATTCTCTGAAAAGATCAGCTCCTACTTTATTTTTGTATACAATTCCTACAACTTGAATCTGGCTCCAAGGTATGTTGATCCTTACCTTGTAAGAACGCTGACAGTTAAAAAAAAAAAAGAATGCTGACAGTGAGGATGAGGAGGATGATGATGATGAAGAAGAAAAAGGAGATGATTTCCATGGGGATGGGCAGAAGCCAAGGCAGAAGAGGGATTTTCCTAGAGTTTGGAGATCCAATGTGTTTTTCCTGGCCCCACCCCTTCTAACTGACCCAATGGGAAGAAGAATAACACCAGTCTCAATATTCTGAGGTAGTTATTGAGTGAGATGTTTGTATTTGGGTGATGAAAGGAGGGGAGACCGACTCAACTGAGCTCCTGGTGACCTTTCTAAGGCCCAACATCAAAGGAAAGAAGCTGGGCGAGAACAGTTCCTGGCTGGGGCTGGGGAGGAACCCCGCCCTTTCTCATTCTATCTTTGGCAGGAGCCTGATAGATATGCCAGCTTCAGCCTCCCACAACAGACACACACAGGGAGCTGGAATAAATGCCTCAGAACTCCAGTTTCGAAGTGCTCCTGGCTTCATGGTTTAACACTGTCAGACATATTCCTAGTGCAGTCTTGCAAGGAACTGCGTCTGTAGGGGGCACAAGGAGCTTCCAGTACAATTACATGGTCCTCAACTTCTGTGCCTTAGAGAGAAATTTCTCATGAGCCTGTGTTACACTCATGTGAAATTTCTCTGTAAGGCACATTTCTCTGTAAGGCACAGATTTCTCTGTGTGACACTGTTTTCAAGGCTGCAGCTACGAATTTGCTGACAAAGCTCGCTTTATGTAATTGCCTAAACTCACACCCCCAGTTGACCATTATTTTCTGAAGGCAATGGAAATTCACCAAACACAGCCCTTTCACCACTAGAGAGTCCTGAACCACCCACGAACATTCCAGAGAAGATGTAGATAGAATTCAACCTTAAAGGAAGAATCCACGATAACCGCCACTGCAGTTGCTGGGGATGGCAGCAGGTGGCAGCACATTCCTTATCATTTATCATGCATCTCCAGCACCGGGCTAACTCTGGAGAAAAAACAGCTTTCCACCTTTGGGTATGTGTATGTCATATAGAAGATGATCTTATATATATATTCCTATAATGTCATATATTCCTATAATGTCTAGAAATTATGGATCAGATGGGAGTATTTCTCAGCCCACAGGGTCTGTAGTTAAAGTAAGTCCCCTTTGGCTGGGTCCTCCACAAAGAGGTAACTCCGGTCCCTTCAGCTCACCCACCATCTCAAGCCTAGCAGGGGCCAGGGTGAAGAGGAGAGGTGAATCCTCCCTTTAGCCCCCAAGGCTAGAGCCTTAGGGGCCCTGGAGGTGTACTCAGGGAGCACAGAAGTGCAGGTAGCAGTTTCTGTCCAACTGGGCCAGACAAAGCTAGTTTCTCCTTTTATTTCGAAGTTCAAGGCAACAAAAAGTCATCAGCTCAGAGGACCAATGTTTCAATGTTCAAGAACCTGTCAATCCAGTACCTTTTTTCCCTAAAAGCCACTCGCCTGTTCATCCAGCTGTTATATGCTGATTAACTGTCAGTGGTACCCCAAGGCCTGAAACCTGTAGGTTTAATTCCAGCAGAGCCAATGAACTAACCAGACTCACCCTGCTTTCATTCCAGGCATAAAATTCCCCACCCAGCCCCCATCATTGATATCATGTGCCCATTTTACAAATAAGGAAGCAGGCTCAGGGGCACAAGTCCGGTCATGGGGGCAGCCTCGCAGTAGAGATGCCAGACCGGAGGGTGAAGGTCACAAGGAGAAGTTGACCCTCGATAAAGAGAAGTTGTAGGTCATAGCACTGACTGATAACCCCGCAAAACCACAGAGTCATAATGTTAGCACTTAACAGAAATGCACACATGCCTCATGGAAAACAAACACACACCTTAGTGTTTTTTTAAACTGTAACTCTTATGGCTCTTATCCTAGAATAAAAAACTCTGTTCAGAGTATGTGTGTGTGTGTGTGTGTGTAGGGGGGCATTCTCAAAGCAGATGGTGCTCTAGACATGAATCCTCCCTGCTTGGCCAGGAGCAGCTATGAGCTTCTGCTTTGACAGGCCTATACTTGTAAGCTTGGGTTAAAAGAGTGTGAAAACCATTGATCTGTCTAAAGATTTCACTTTTTAGGTTAGAAAGTGCATGTAGGAAGAAGATGGGCCAAGTTCATGTGGGTATCCAGTGTCTATCATCAAGATGCTAGTCCCCCAAATGGAAGGGTATGTGGGAATAGGTGGTTGAAGTAGGATTTGGGAACTGGACTGTCTTGGGCTTGCTTAATCTATTTTGGGGCTGGCCACCCAAGGACAGCAAAGCATGCAAATTCATCTCTGGCAGAGACTATGACCACAGTGAAGGTTCTTGGACTGCCTCGATGGGGCGTGAAAAAGTGGCCCTCTTTGCTACTTAGCTAAGTCGGATAGGTGAGCACGCAGGCTGGGAATCTATTACTGGCTATGATGTATGATCCCAAAGCCTTCATTAAGCTGGTAACATTGGCTATTTATATCTGAGGGCAATGAGGCCTCCTGCGCACGCTGGTTTTCTTCCAATGATTCAGAACAATAGCGAGGCTTGACAAGATACTGCAGAGACCCACAATTCTCTCATATTAAAATTCTGCCTTATGTGAGTGCAGCCCCTCTTTCCACATGGAAGAACAGATAATTCAGACCTGGGAGTAAAATACAGATTTTATGAGTCTTGAGTCCTGAATCTGGTCCCTTTGGAAGGGCTCATTTTCTTTGCTAAAATTTCTAGGCTTGAAAAATGGTGTTCTCTTCCTGAATACACCGGAGAGAGGCTCAATTGTGAGTAGGAAGGAACCTAGTTTTCAAAGCAAAGGATTCAGGAAGCATGAAGAAGTGTCCTCCCTGAATCTGAAATGGACAAATTCCCTGCACAGATTTTAAGGTTTAAACATGGGGCTTCCGTGCCCTCTTCTATAAAGAAGAAATTGCTCACAACCACCATCCTCTGAGCCCACAGCAGCACTTACCTCCTCACCATTCTGGCCCAGCTCTATCTTGGGGGGAAACAGGGGGAGAGAGCAGGGTGGTTTCCTTCTTGTTGGTTTACTGGCTGGTGTCTGGAGGGAGGGTGACAGACAGACACACAGAGAGAAAAAGAGAGCTAATCAGGCAATAGGGAGGAAAAGAAGGAAGTGGAAAATGGTTTTAGGAATGTTTAGGGATGATGTCTGCAGGAGAAAAGAATGGAGGGAAGGGACTGCATGTTGGAGACTGCTGGGACTGTATAAATTGATAAATTAATTCTATTTAACTAACTGCCATGGTGATGGTCAGCCTCTGGTCTCCTAGTGCTTTCCTGCTGGAGAATTCTCTTTTGCTTGAGATTCACTGATCTAAAACATCTCAAAATACACCCACATCCAGCTTCTAAGAACTGCCAGCACTTTGGGGGTCAGTACTATTTCCTTTACCCTTTCTGACATCCCTATAATGTTTAGAAATCATGGACTAACTTTTCAAATTGGAAAGAAGAAATGAAAAATCACTCACCTGAAGCACGACAGCTACACAGTTGGTATCTCTAGAAGCCATGATAGCCCTCACCACCCCCCCTTGGAATTCCCTGCCCTTGTTTCACTTCTAGTGAACTCCCCAAATCAGCCCCCCCTTTACACTGTTCTCTCTAATAAGATTCTTCCAGAGTCCATTGGTCTCTAGTCCCTTTCCTTCCTTGTCCCTGACTTCCCATCTGAATGTGTTTCCCTGCAAATTCGCTCCTCCTCATATCTCAATTCAGAATCTGCTCCCATCTTGCCTTGCTCAGGATTCTTAGCTCCAGGCAGGAGCCAGGCTCCAGGACCTATATTCTGAAATTCATATCTGTGCAAAATTTAAGCGGATGCGAATGAATCCAGACTCTGATAGGTGGGTCTTTTAGCTGCCCCTGTGTTTTCTCTCTCCTGGCCCCACCCTGGAAAGATCCTCGCCAGGCCCAGCAGCAAGGCGACATTCCTCACATTCAAAGGGACCCCTCTGTGGCTTCTCTTCCTAATTTGGTAGTTACCAAGCCTCCTCCCTCCCTCTCCTCTGGGCCTGACCTAGACTTCCCCTTCCTCCAGCCCCCTCCCAGAAGAGGGGCTCCAAAGGCCCCTGACTTACCTCCTTTGCAGTAGCTGCCTGCTCCCTAAACCGCCCAGTCAGCTGGGCTACCGAGGGGCGCGCCGAGCCATCCACGTTGACATTGGTCTCTGCCATTCTTCCCTGGCAAACCAAGGGGAAACAAATGTTAATCAGCACATGTGGACTGGGCTCTGCTTAGTGTTGGTCCCCTGTGCCACCCAAGCCACTGGTTTGGTGGCCACAAACTACAAATGTGACAATGAGCTCTTTCACAGTATTTTGCATTCAAATTTCTAAAATAACATCTAGTCAACCACATTTCGTGTTCACAGTGTACTCAGCCCTGGGTGTGACTCTGGGGCTCTGGAGAGGAATCATACATGATCCTGTCCCAGAAGGGTGCCCAGGGATTTGGGAGCAGTACAAACCTGAGCTCCTCAACATGCAAAGACCTGGCCTGAAATTGGGTGTATTGGTGGCAATGTAAGTGTCGTCTTCCTTGGTTAGACAAGGATTTGAAACTTGGGGGTAGGGGTGCAAAATGGAGAGAGAGGCCTTTAAGTACATATGATGGGATGAACAAATGTGCTTACAAGTCTTTAACACATGTACATGTGTCTTGTTTTCTCTACTTAATTGGGCAACTTGGGCAAAATATCATTCAGCAAATATTTGTTGAATTAACAAATAAATAACATGAGAGGCGGGCAGCACAGTGGCTGAGAACTAGAATGGATTCTACCACTGAATAGACCCGCATGTTAGGAGATCAGCGACCTTGGGCAAATGACTGGATCTCTGACTTGACCTTGATGGAGATAATAGTAGCACATCACTCAAAAGTTTGTTCTATGGATTAAGTGACTGACTACTAATGTGTCAGGGGCAGGCCTGGCAGGTTACAGGTGCTGTTATTACTACCTGCACTGGGGTCTTTTTGAGAGTCTCCCTGATAGGTTCCCCAAGCTGGTTACAGGCATGGCCATGGCCCTGCTGTGCCCCCCGGGGGTGGCCCTCATTTTACAAGGGCCATCCCTCCCCCTCATGCCCAGATCACTGAAAATGTCAAGCTGCCCCCAGACACCGTTCACCCCTGTGTGCTATGTCACCTGCACACCATTCACCACAATTTTCTTTCTTTCTTTTTTTAAAAGATTAATTTATTATTTATACAATAGCTGGGGTATAGGCCAGAGGTGCGGGAGGGTGAGAAGATTCGCCAGAGACAGAGTGGGGGGCAGAACAGGCAGACAGACCGAAAGCACTGCTGAGGGGAGCAGCGCGCATGACAGGAAAGGTCTATCGCACCATGTGGTAATCTACCTGGCCAGCCGGGAATCAAACCCACACTGCAAAGGCTGCGGATATCTTCACAGTGCTGTGCTCAGCCCGCTGCATCACCGGGGAGGTCCACACCACAATTTTTTTTTTTAAAGATTTGTTTATTTATGCATACAAGAGCTGGGGTACAGGCCAGAAATGCAGGAGGTGAGAGGATTCACCAGAGACATAGTGGGGAACAGAACAGGCAGACTAACTGAAATACACTGTTGAGGGGAGCAGCAGGCAAGTCAGGAGAGGTCTGCCTCACCATGTGGGTTGCTCCCTGGCCAGCCAGGGATTGAACTTGTGCTGCAGAAAGTGCAGATTGCTTTATAGTGCGATGCTAACCCCTTGCACCACCAGGGAGGCCCCACACCACAATTTTCTATTTGACACCTTGACATGCAGGGTGAGACATGAAGGCTGCAATGGCCACCTCACTGTGGCCTTGTTACAACATGACTGATATAAGCAAATGTCCAGTCCTAGCACATTAGACTTCAGTTTTTGTGGCGATGAAAATAGCACTTCTTACACAAACTGCAAACTCCACCACTTCCTATCCTCATAACTAGCCTGGAACAGGGAGGATTTGGGCAGTGGCTTGTCTGAGAAAGTCCATCTCTGCTTTTTCCTGCCGCTCAGAACCTCCAAGGAAAAGACTTGTCCCTTCCAGCACCAAGTCTGCCTCCCTGTTAAACACACACACACACACACACACACACACACACACACACACACACACTCCCCAAGCCCTCCTTTTGGTGCTTCTTCTAACCGAAGTGTCACTGGTGATGCTCTGATGCAGCTTCCTTGGAGGGGCTGCAGGGCGAGCAGCCCCCACCCACTACCACCTGGGGTGAAGTGAAGTGAATTGAGGCAAAAATTGTGCAGAAGGCTTAGCTAGAGATATGAAGTCCCTTCTCATCTGTGAACAGGCTGTTATGAAGGAAAAGACAGGTCTCTCTTCACTGTCTCCGGCTATAATTCAAGTTCATCCCCATTTCAGTCTAAACATCAAGCGCTGATTTCCCATGAAGATGTAATAGGATTCACCTCTATGCAAGATGCCAATGTCGCCATAACACTGAGGAAAAGAAGGAAGTCCCTGAATAGCGCCCATTAGGCAAGGTCAGACACAGCCATCCTGCCCCTGGAAACAAAGGAGAGCCTTGAGGAACAGTGTGTCAACTGAGCCACTCTTAGCAAGAGTGCTGGGATAATGGGTTTGTCCATCTGTCTAACTTCCTGCCACACACCAGATCGGTCTCTCTGTCTGTGGCTATTTATTGCTTCGGTCCTGCTGACGGGGCACTTTACCTCGGCTCCAAAGGCGCCAACCACTGGAGGTGCAGGAAGATGCATTCCAGATAAAAATAGAAGTGTGCAGGAGTCAGAACCTCCTCCCTAATATCCCTGCCTCAAATTGAGCTTGGCAAGGGGCTTGGAGCAAGAGGACTATGAGGTTTCTGGAAACATTTAGGGCTTCAAAGTTGGGTTTGAGGAAAGATTATAATTGGTGGGAGTTTGTTTTCTTGGAGCCAGGTGAATGGTTTCCTTTAGGTCTGAAGCCTAGTGCGTCCACTCACCACCAGTTCCTCTCCGGACACTCCTCATTCTGTGTGGTAGAAGACTTACTGACTACCCCCTGCTCCCAGCAGGGCACACTGAAATCCAGAGGGGGGGCAAGTCACTCAGGTAGAGTCACACAGGAGAAGCCAAATGCAATGATCCATGAAACTCTTGATTCCCACCCTGGAAATCCTATAGTGGACACCAGTTAAATAGCATAATTTGTGACAGTTTTGAAAACTGTAAACTGTTTCAATAGTGAAATTATTATGAGTCACTGGGCTATACAGGGTCAATGGAAGAAGCAAGGCCTTGGGGATGGACAGGGGCCTCTGGCTCAACCTGTTTGAGGCTTGGCCTGGATTCCTGCCTTGCAATTCTGGCAGGTCCAACTACTAACTTCCTTGGTGGTTTCAAAGCATACCACCTCAGCCCTGGGCCAGGGAGCGGGTCTTTCCACAGCTCTCTCAGGTCTGAGGCTGGGTTGGTAAGGCCACATTGATCTTGACTACGTTCTTAGTTCTGAGAAGGACTTCATTGTCTCCCAGTTCCACAATATCCTGGGTCCCTCAGCCACCATGGAACTCAGCATCCTTTTGCTGTTTGAAAGATGACCATAAGCTGTCCCTTTTGTACAGATCCTGGAACACAGAAATGCTCTCATTGATGGGTCCTGTCTTCTCCTCCTCCATCCAGTCCAGCTTGTGGGGGGTAGGGCCTCCTCCCATAGTCAGTGACACTGTCGACTCACCCCTGGGGCCCTGCCCTGCCTCCTCCACACTCCCAGTCTTGACCACTGCTCTAACCTACACTTGTCCTTCTTTTGGGGTCAGCCTCCACGCCGTAAGTCCGTCTTCTGGACTCATCTCTCTTTATGCCTTGTTTTAGTTGACGCTTGTCCTTATTATAGACGGCAGTCCTCGGCTCCATCTTCCTGGGCCCAGACCTTGCTTACCACACCCTCCCTGCTACCATTCAAGTGTGGTGCTGCCAGTCAGCTTGGAAACCACTCCTGTGGCTTTGCAGAGGAGAGAAGAAAATCAGCTCTGGTGTTTGCTTTCCATTTCTAGGGGAATTCCTTCTGAGAACTGAGGACTCCCTGTGTCTGGACAGACAGAAACCTCCCACGTAAGACTGCCATGTTGAATAAATACAATTTGGATGCTGCCAACCAGCCACATAGTGGATTCTTTGTGTGCAGGTTGGGGTTGGCTCCACCTCCCTCCCTGGCTCTGCCCCTGCTTCTTCATCCTCCTCCTTGGTCTGAGGTCTAAGTATCTAGTAATTTCTGGGCCATGGTTTAGCAAGATATCACCGGAGGCCTCTTCATCTATAGTTTGAGAGGAGAGGTGATAAGTAGGTGCTGCCTGGGGCTGAGGAATCCTGCTCTTGGCTAGTAGGAAGGTTCTCCTGCTCACAGGAATAGGCCAGACAACCCAGAGCCTTGCAAGTATAGGATATTTTTGCTTCTTTCTCTTTAGAGAGCCAAGCAAGGTACTCACCCTAGACTCTTTGGAATGTCACAATAATTCCATCACCCTTTTTCTAACCTTATCCCTGATTCTTCAATTCACCCCACATTCAACCACTACCATCCTGGCATCATGGAACTAATAACAGTCTGGGAACCCAGTCGGCCCGTTTGATTCACCCAGCCACTGAGAACAGCTGCTAAGTTCTTACAGCACTAGATGTATTTCTATCATTCTCAAAACCCCTCTTCTAGAACAGAAAATGTTTCAGAATTGTGACGTAACTTGTGACGTTAACTGTCAGCACTAGAGTTGTCTGGATTCCAAAACTTTAGCTCTTTCCACTCCAACATGCTAACTTTAGACCTTTACAGGAAGCATTATTTGTCTCATCAATAATATTTACTATCCTAGGCTTGGGATGAAATAGTGAACGAAATCTGAGGTCTTGCCCTTGAGGAGCTGTGACTCCATCAGGGGAAGCAACCAATGTGCAAATACACAGATAGACAAGATATCTCGTCAAATGTTATGAATAAGATGTAATGAGACTTTATTTATGGGGGATGAGGGAAGACATCTCTGCAGGCGGGTCAGCTGAGTAAGATGTCAGAGTGGAGGAAAAGTGTTCTGAGCAGAAATTACAGATGGGAACAAAGACTGAAAGACCAGGACATATTGTCCACTGATGTTCACTGGAGGCCCCAGCCTGGAGCAAAAACGTTAAGAGCTGATGTGCAAAGTCACAAGACTGGATAAAATAATAGGAAATAC